CGCTCTTCCCTGGCCTGGAGGATCGGATCCTGAGGGAGATGAAGCTGCAAGTGCCTGCTGGCATGTGTGTGAGGATCATTGTACCCCCTGAGAGAAAATACTGTGTGTGGATTGGGGCCTCCATCCTCACCGCCCTAACATCTTTCAAACAAATGTGGGTCACTGTGAGCGATTACAAGGATTTGGGGGCAGCTGTTATTCACCGGAAATGCTTTTAAGGAGCACGTCAGACCAAGTGAATGGCTTGATACAACAATGCATGAGCAAGAAACCCTGCTGAGAGCTGACTGACCTTAAAGGTGTTACAGCTGTTTGTGCATTTATTGGCTGACAACTTGTATGAAAATAAAACATTAAAAACATTGCTAATGAGGGCCATTAGTCATCTTATTATCATCTCTAAGGGGAGCACTGCATGTTCTGACTTCCCTTGTTTCACAACTTGGAGCCTTATCTGCATGTTCTCTTTCAACCCTCTACCTCATGGCTGGGGAGCTTGAGCTGTAATAAGACAGAATTGCTGCTTAGGGGAGCAAGCTGGTCACCACACAGCAGGGAGGGTGACCAAAGCTATTTATGTGAGACCCTTCCCCTCTGCAGAATTTACAGGTGTGCACAAATCACAGGGATGGAGTAACACCTTAACTGACTCACAGCCTGCCTTGGAGTCATACGGGGAGTAGCATACCTCCTCTGCTGGGACATTCTTCTCTAAGGTCTTTGAGATATCTGGGTTTCGTATTTTAAAACTAGCTCTCGGATTGTCCTGGTTTTGGCTGGGATAGAGTTAATTTTCTTCCTAACAGCAGGTATAGTGCTGTGTTTTGGATTTAGGATGAGCATAATGTTGATAACACTCTAATATTTTAGTTGTTGCCAAGCAGTCAAGGACTTTTCAGCTTCTCATACAAGAAGATGAGGGTGGAGGACAAGAAGCTGGGAGGGGACACAGCCAGGACAGGTGACCCATATTGGCCAAGGGGATATTCAATACCATATGACATCATGCTCAGTATATAAGTGGGAAGTTGGCCAGGAGATGGTGCAGCTTAGGAACTAGCTGAGCATCAGCTTGTGAGAAATTTTGCTGTGCATCTCTTGTTTTGTATATTCTTTTATCATTATTGTTATTATCTTCATTTTCTGTCCTATTAAACTGTATTTATCTCAACCCATAACTTTTCCCTTTTTTCTTTCTGATTCTCTCCCCTATCCCACTGTGGGGGAGGGCAGCGAGCAAATGGCTGTGTGGTTGTTTTAGCTGCCTGCCAGGTTGAACCATCGCATGTTATTTTTGACCTCATTATAAATGTTTCCTTTAGAAACCCAGCAAAACCCAAACAGAATCCAAATATAAATCAATGCAAATGCAATTACTGTAACTGATGCTCTTCTGTGCGTGAAGGTCTCAAAAGAATCCATTGATTCTCTGCTGTAATTTATCTGGGAAGTAAGAATACCCAGTTTCACTTCCAAGTACTAGGCCGGAATCAAAGGGCCCCACACTGCTGGCTCCCTGGAGGAACCAAGATGATGCCACTATGCATCGCCAGGAAGTGTTTCCAAGATGCTCAGGAGCAGAGGAGGCTGGCAGGCGTTGGGGAGTCGTTACATGTTTGAACTGCATTTCACTGCCAGAGCTCTATGGAAATATGTAATGGGAGTTCTCTGTTGTCACTTCCACTGAGTCTTCTTCCACTGTGAGGGTTTCTTGGTCAGTCCCATTCCACCCCTTAGCTCAACATTTAACCATTACTGGTGTGGCACAGAGAGCTTAATGCATTCATTGCTTGAATGACCAGCCCTGTTGTCTGGGCACAGGGAGATTCTGAATGTGGCATGGCTAAAATCTCAGGTGTGTGAAGTGTTTGCTGCTAATGACATGTGCAATTAGTTTGGGAGGCGGTATATCACAACATGTATAGAAACCTTCCTCACTTCTGTTTGGCCACTGGCACCGTCTGCAAGACGAAGGTTATCCAGCTTCTCAGCTGGATCACATTCTTGAGCAATCGGGCAGATCTCATTTTTTTGTTTACTTGAAAGAACAAGCATCTATTTTTTTTTGGTGTTTTCTTTCTTCCTCTGTTGCTGTCACAATTGTGGGGCTGGTTTAGAAAAGTGCTTTCCCCCAGATTTTGGAGCAACCAAACCAATTTGGTTCTCCTCAGGATGGAGGTTGATGTGTGTCATGTAGAGCTGTGAGGATGCCCATGGTTGGGATGAAGGCAGCCTGCTGTGCTGCCTCCTCTCCCTTCTCAGAGGAACAGCTCTGCCTCTCCTGGGCATGGAAGGGCATCATATCGAACGGATTTTCCCTGCTGCCATTTAGAGTGCCTTTGTTGATTTAATCTCTCAGCTGGAGCAGATTGCATGTGCTAAATGCAGCTGAATGCAGCTGGGTTTAGCTCAGCTTTAGCCTTCTGTACTAAATATTGGGAGAGGTGTTCTCATGCAAATGAGAAGGAAATGATTGGAGCCTGAAGTTATTTTGTGCTATGATTTCAAAATGTTTCTCTCGGTCTCGCTGTCAGTAACTCCAGCAGTGGTCATGATTCTTGCCTAGATGCAGAGGAAGGAAAGCCAATTTGGAGAAAGAGAGAAGAAAATAAGGGGGTTGGTTTGTTTCTTTCTTTTCTAAAATGAGCCTCTTAATTTTTTTCAGTGAAGATTCTTTTCTGAGATCCATTCTCACTGTTGCAGAGAATCAATACTGGGTAATACACAGTCTTGAAAAGAGAAGTCCAGCTAAAGATGAAGGCAGGGCAATAATAGTAAAAGCGAGAAAGACAGATGAAATTGTGCAAGAGACTGAAGCTCTTACCAATAACTCCCATGCTGCCAGTGAATTTTACAGCAGAGCTGGCCCCATTATTTGAAGGGGGGGCAACGGAACTATGGAAGCTGGTGAGAGAAAGTGCAGGGGAAGGGAACGGGGTAAGAATGAAATGGGGAATAGATAAGGGCTAAAAAATATTTTATGAATCATAAAATATAACATGTTTCTTATTAAATCCTTTCTTAACTAACCAGCCAAAGATGAGGAAGGGGGCATGGCTATCTTTACTTATGTTTTATGGGGGTTCTATAAGCAGGTGCAGTTGAAGGCAGCACCTTGTTTCTGGCAGTCTGTGTAGCCAGCCCTGTCAGTGTTGTCTGTGTGTGTGCCTGTGGGATACATCCTCAGCTTCGCTTCTGGTTGAACTGCAAAGGGGAAAGCAGCATTCACTAAAGTTAAAAGGTCAGCACCTGGGTGGGGGGAACTGCAAAGCAGGCAAGAGAGTGCTTGGTGTCTAGGCGTGTTTGCAGAGGCAGGAACCTGCCCAGCAGGGACATGGCAGGTGGCACAAGACACCGACCCCACTAAGCACTCCCGGCTTTCCTCTTGTTATATCTGGCCAGATCCAAGAACATGAGACAGTCAAGGCTGCTGCTGCTTCATGTCCCCAAGACTAACTGGCAGTGAAATGGAAGTTGTGCCACCTGTGGGCATACATTTCCACTACATATATATCAATATATATATATCCTGCCACACAGATCATGGACACTGAGTGCTCCAACAAACATAAGCAGACCTAGCACCCTCACCCTGCTCCCCTCTCTGGATGAGCAGTATGGAGGTCCACAGATGAGAATACACATGTACATACATTCTTGGGCTTCTGAAGGAATCTGCTTTTGAAGGTATTGGGGTCCAGGAATGCTGGTCACTTTTTAAGAGCCATTTCTTAAGAGTGCAGGAGCAAGCAATTCTAGAGTGTCAGAAGTTAAGTAAGAAGGTCAGCTTGGCTGAGTGGGGATCTTCCTCTAGAACTTAGGTCCAAAAGGAAAGTGCATGGATATTGGAAGCAAGGACAAGTGACACAGGAGGACTATAGGGATGCTGTTCACCACTGTGGGGAGAAAAATCGTGTGGCCAAATTCGATTAAAGTTCAAGCTGGCCAGCACTGTGAAGGGCAATAAAAAGGGCTTTTTTTAAATATGTCAACAGCAAAAGGAGGATCAGAGATAACACCAGGCCATTACTTGACGAGGTTGGTCACCTCACAAATAGGGATGCAGACAAAGCAGAGACATTTAATGCCTTCTTCACCTTTGCCTTTACCACTGATGATGGGCCCTCGGACCCTTGGAGCCCTGTGTTGATAGACCATGACTGGGGGAATGATAAACTCCCAGCCGACCCTGAGCTCGTTCAAGACTTGCTGCTCCAGCTGGATGCCCATAAGTCTACGGGGCCTGATGGGATTCATCCCAGGGTACTGAAAGAGCTGGCTGATGTTATCTCTCTGGTGTTTTTCAATGGTCTTGGGAGTCTGCAGAGGTCCCAGTCAACAGGAAGCTGGTAAATGTTGTCTGAGTTTTTAAGGAGGATAAGAAGGGAGACCTTGGTAATTACAACCCTGTCAGTCTCACTTCAGTGCCTGGTAAAATTATGGAGAAAGTAATTCTGGAAGTTATTGAACAACACTTGAGAGACAATGCAGTGACTGGTCATAGCCAGCATGGGTTCATGAGGGGAAAATCCTGCTTAAAAGTAACTTAATTTCGTTTTAAGACAAGGTCACCCATTAATAACAAAAGGAGAATCAGAGGTAACATTGCTTGATGAGGTTGCTCACCTCGCAAATAGAGATGTAGACAAAGCCAAGATGTTTAATACCTTCTTTGCCTCTGTCTTGAACAGCAATGATGGCCCCTGGAGCCCTGTGCTGGAAGACCGTGACTGGGGGGGATGATAAACTGCCAGTCAACCATGAAACTCGTTCAAGACTTGCTGCTCCAGCTGGATGCCCATAAGTCTACGGGGCCTGATGGGATTCATCCCAGGGTACTGAAAGAGCTGGCTGATGTTATCTCTCTGGTGTTTTTCAATGGTCTTGGGAGTCTGCAGAGGTCCCAGTCAACAGGAAGCTGGTAAATGTTGTCTGAGTTTTTAAGGAGGATAAGAAGGGAGACCTTGGTAATTACAGCCCTGTCAGTCTCACTTCAGTGCCTGGTAAAATTATGGAGAAAGTAATTCTGGAAGTTATTGAACAACACTTGAGAGACAATGCAGTGACTGGTCATAGCCAGCATGGGTTCATGAGGGGAAAATCCTGCTTAAGTAACTTAATTTTGTTTTATGACAAGGTCACCCATCTAGTAGACCAAGGGAAGCCAGTAGATGTGGGGTTTTTTTTGGATTTTAGCAAAGCTTTTGATACTCTTACA